TCCTTTCTGCATCCCAGGTTGTGCCTGCAGGCAAACACCGCTCCCTGGCTCACAGGCCATGTGCGTGGGCAAAGGCTGCAGCTCCAGCTGCCGTGGGCACCGCAGGCCAGCGCTGTAATAACAGGCTGAGGACAAGAGGGATAAAAATAGCCCCCGGTGCTGCCTCCCCCTCTGCAGCCGGGGGGAAGTGGCTCCTTGCCACCCCAGCCCAGGTGGTTATTTTAAGGCTGTCACCTCCTTGCTTCTCTCGCTGGTGGCTTTTATAAATAGCCAGTGCCTCTGCATGGCTCCAGTGCCAGGAGCGAGATGTGCCCGTGCCTGGCAGGACTGGGAAATGCCCTGCATCACCTGCCCGGCCCTGCTCGCTCACTGCCGTCCACACCATCCTCTTCCTCTGGGCACAGACCTCAGGGACACAGCCTGATCCCACCACACATCCCTCTCTGCCAGCCCCCAGGGCCTGGGCACAGCTTCCCCCACTGCCTGTGCTCATCTGGGTGCTCCAGATGCTGTCCCCAACCCGGGGCACCCCATCCTCTGCCTCCTACCCCCACATCTTTCTGGTTCCTTCCCTGGCCCTGATCCCCATCCTCTGCTCCTGTGCTTCTCAAACCCCATCCCTGGGCTCCAGCTGCTCAGAAGGTCCAGCCCTTGCTCTCTTGCAGCTCTGCCCCTTCCCCAGGGCTGGGAGCACCCTCAGGTGTCCCTAATTATCCTCCTCCTCTTGTTCTTAGCTTTATTTTGGTATCTAAAGCTCCCCTTGCCTGGCAGCATCTCACCAGCACGGTTTTGCCCGGTGCTGGTTCTCAGTGGCCATAAGCGCTGCAGAGTGGCGACCGCGGTGCTGTAATTAGCCAGGTACAGCAGGAACACACTTGCAGCCTGACAGCTCTTCTGGAGTCGAATGGGAGCCAATTAATCTAATTAAAGCGGCCGCTGGCTCATTATCCCTGCACAGTTCACAAGGCTATGAAGGCATCCAGCCCATCCTCACCATCCTCCTGCTCACGAGCAGCTTGGATGGGCACATACGAGTGGGCATGGAGAGCCGCGGCTTGCTCCCCCCATGGATCCAAGGTGGCTGGAGCACTGCCCTGGGGGCGAATAAGGGGGTAAAAAAGCTTCTTGCCCACGGCGGAGTGACCCTGCTCTGTGCATCGGGCTCCTGGTGGCGCCAGCATGTGGCTGGGCTGCAGTGGTACCCACGGGAGCGGGATGCAGGAGGATGCTCCCTGCGGCTGCCACGGCCATGGGGTTGGCATGCCGCGGGGCTGCAGTACCAGGAGTGCCATCGCGGCAGCGGTCGGCAGGGCCTGGAGCCGTGCCACATCCCGGCGAGGAAGAGCTTTGTTTCCCGGTGCCAGAGCAGGTCCTGCCGGGCGGCGCGGCAGCATCCTGCAAGCTAATTACGAGGCAGGCCGAGGAGGAGGTCTGTCTGCACAGGTGCCTGTCAGCAGGGCGCTGGCACTCACGCCGCCTAATTAGACACCCTGCCAGCCCTTAATGAGAACAAATGAGAGGCCAGCGAGCGCGGGGCTGGGCTGCAGCATCCGGACCCTGTCCCGTGTACTGGCTCTGGCCCTGGCCCTGTGCCTGCAGAGAGCCATGGATGCTCTTATTGGTGCGTGTGGGGTGCTGCAGTGGCTCAGCCCCTCTGTGCCATGTCATCTAAGCAGAGTTTGCCCCTCTGCAGCAGCCTGCATCCAGCAGGACCCCGGTAGCACTCCATGTGCATCCCCCGGCAGCCCCTGACCCATCGCCATGCACTTGCCCTTTCTTTAAGTCCTTTTGGGAGCTGGATCTTAGTGCTCCAACACCACAGGGTGCCTCTAAAGCAAGATCTTGGCATCTCCCCCATAGGCCGTCTTATTGCAAAGAGGAGAGCTTGGTGCCAAGTGGATCTGCCCACGTAGGCTGAGCCTCTATCCTCTCATCAGCTCAATAGCTGTCAGTGCCCCATGGGACACCCCATGGCATGCAGATTGCCACCTCCATGCCCTCACCCTGCGCACCTCCAGCTGCACCATGGGACTCAAATGCACCCACTCAGGTATTTTAAAGTCTGGGTGCAGCCAGGGAACGTGTTTGCTCTCCTTGGGGTCTCCACGTGGCTGAGCTTTTCCCTGTCTCTCTGTAATCTAAGGCAAACAGGCCAGTGTCCTGGGTCGAGAACGCAGAGATCAGCAGGAGCACATCCCTGAGGCCCTGGCACAGGCAGGCTTCCTTGCTGGACTCAGATGTGCAGGGAGGGCAGGACAAGCTCGGCACACCAGGTACGCTTCAAAAACCCCGTGAGGCTGGAGGAGGGGCTGCAGAAGAAGACCTCAGGACACATCTGCCTCAAGAGAGGGAAGTTTAACCCAACAGCAGGACCTCAGGCAAGCCTTGAGGCTGCAATGGGGCTGATCAAGCGGGAAACAAGGTGCAGATGGGGCAGACTGCGCTGGGAGAGATGTACTCCCTCCACAAGGGGGTTTGCAGAGCAGCAGGCACCGGGGCACGGCTCAGGGGGTGCCCGGCCGTGCTGGGGGTGCAGGGTGCCCACACAGGTCCCGGCTCTGCAGCAGCCCTAGAAACAAACCCTCCCACACGCCGGGATGGGGAGGCAGCGGCGTGCGGCTCCCGGCGGCCAGCGGTGGGTAATGGGGTGAGACCAAGCACGGTGAGATGCTGCGTGGGTATCAGGAGCAGCTGCCTGGCAAAGGAGCCATGGGGAGGAGGGAGGCAGCTCCTGGGGAGCCAGGCACAGGCTGGAGCCCCCCGGGCAGGAGCGGGTGCCATACAACACAAAGCCTCTGCAGTCTGGAGAGGAAGATGTGCTGTTAGGGGACACACACACCTCTGTACCACCACCGCCCCCCCATACATCCCCTGTGAGTGCATGCACACATCTCCATCCCTGTGTTCAAACTCCCCTTTACTCCTTGTGTTCACCCTGGTGTGTGCACCCCTTCATCCCGGCGTGTGCCCCTCCATGCACATGTACCTTCCCTTATGTGCCACACATGCCTCAATCCTTCCTTGTGCACACATCTCCCTCTTCCCCACCACAGATCCACATCCTTGGGCCCTGCCTGCCCAGGGATGGAGAAGAACAGCCAGATCCATGCCATCGCAGCTCTGCTATTACACCACAGCTTAGCGAGGTTTAAGGGAAAGGCAGGGATGTGCCAGGTTGAGGCTGAGGCCAGCCCCTCTGTGCCCGGCAGGGGGTGGTGGGATTTGCTGAGGAGCAGAGCAATTTCCCTGCCACTCTGCTCCGTCCTCTCATTTTCACAGCAGGGTCTGAGTGGTTGATGGGCAGGTTGGTATCGCTGGTGCAGCTCTGCAGCGATGCTCCCAGCATACCCAGTGTTCACAGGAGGAAATGGATGTGGAGCAAGGGGCTTTGGTACGAATCTGAATGTATTTGGGGTGGGCAGGGGCCATACGGCATCATCAGCTGTGCCAGCTCCATCCAGACACAGCCCTGGCAGGCTGCATCGTGGCCATGCATCCCACAGCACTGGCTGCAGTGGAAAGGGGGAAACAGGGATGCTGCAGCCAGATGGGTCCCCATAGCTGGCCATGGAGTAGACACCGGGAGCCACACGAGCTGGCACTGCCAGCAGGGCAGAGGTGTGGGGCAGGGGGGATCCACCAATCTCAGCATCTCATCAGCCCCTTTCTGGGGAGGCCAGCCCTGGCCTGCAGGGATGATGGAGCAGATGATGCTCTTGGTCTGAGGCGAAAGGCAGAGAAGAGTTGCCATGGAGACCAGCTATGTCATTTTAAGGAGGCGCGGAGGCATTCGCACCCATCCCTCTAGAATGAACCCCAGAGAGGGGAGCGGGGTGGGAGTCACCAGCATCTCCTTAGGTCACCAGTGGGTCGGCCGGTCCCCAAGCAGTGCCACACCACAGGGAGCCAGCAGCGAGGCTGCAGGCAGGACTGCCTGCCCAGGGTGTGCCAGCATCCCCTGGGGCCAGCAGGAGCAACTGGTGGCACTGGGGCAGTTCCTCTGCTGCCAGCCCAGCCTGAGCAGGCGATAAGGAACAGCCTGCAAGGAGCAGAGGTCAATATATCCCCCCCCCCCCAAGTTAGTCCTGAGGCTGGGGAGTGGCTGTGAGTGCAGACCAAAGGGCTGGGGCGAGGTTCAGGGTGGAAGCAGCCACATCCTGGCTTTGTGGATAATTTAAGCTTTAATTAAAATGAAGCTTTACGCATTAGCAGCTTCCTCCCTCCCCCCCCCCTTCCCTGCAACCGGCGGCGTCCGGCACTGCGGGCAGCACTGGTGCCTCTACTGGAGTCCCCCCCGCATTGCCACGGCCGCTCCGGCTGAGAAATTACCCAGGTGGGGAGATTGGATGTAGCAGCACTTCCAATGGGAAATACAGCCCCAGATATGGAGGCAAATTAAGGGATGCAAAGGTGCCCCCCTCCCTTTATCCCTTGTCCCCCTTATCCCCCGTGCGCTGGTCCCACTGGGCAGCCCCAGGGCCAGGGCTCGCTGCTTATGGGGTGTTGCAGGAGCCCCCCTGGCCCTAAGTGGGTCCCACCAGCTCTGGCACCCCGATGCTGATCAGCTCCGTGGTGCTGGCAGCACCCACCGGCAGCTCAGTGCTGTTGCTGTTCAGATGGGACTGGAAGAACACCGGCATCGCTGCACCGGTGAGTCCATGGCCGGGAGGATGGGGAGTGCCAGGGCTGGGGTCTGCAGTGATGGGGGACACAGCAGTGCATGCTGCCTGCATGGGAGGCAGCCGAGCCTGCACAAAGCAAACAGGAATGATGCATTGATGGCGTGTGGGGAGGAAGGAGGGTGTTAGGCTTCAGCGCGGCTCCCAGGGAGGTGCTGGCACTGGCCTGGGTGTCAGGGACATGCTCCCCGATGACCAACACAAACTATTGAATGATTCTAGGACATGGAGCTCGGGCAAGGGGCTGTGCATTGTACCTGGTGTGAGGTGTCTGCAGGCGGTGTGAGCGTGTGTTGATGCAGTGGGGGTGCGGGGGGTGTGTGGATGTGCAGGGTGTGTGGGAGATGGGGTGCACAAGTGTGACAGGTACAGGATGAATGGCATGTGGCCTTGCTGCACGTGCAGTGCGAGGGGTGGGTGACGTGCTGCGTGTGCACCACTGCAGTGTGCTGTGCATGCAGTGAGCTGTGAGTGTGCACTGCAGTGTGAAGGGTGTGCACAGTGCACATTCACTGTGGGAGGTGTGAGCTGTGCAGTGCGGTGTGTGCATGTGCAGGGCACAGTCACAGTGTGTGAGCTCTGCAGTGCAGTGTGTGTGTGCAGGTCATGCTCATGGTGGGAAGTGTGAGCTGTGCAGTGCAGTGAGGTGTTTGTGTGCCAGTGAATGCTCACTATGTGAGGTGTGAGCTCTTCAGTGCAGTGAGGCATGTTCAGTGCATGCTCATTGCGGGAGGTGTGGGCTGTGCAGTGCAGTGAGGTGTGTGTGTACAGTGCACACTCACTGTGAAACTGTGATTTCTGCAGTGCAATGTGTATGTGCAGGTCATGCTCATGGTGGGAAGTGTGAGCTGTGCAGTGCACACTCACTGCAAAACTGTGGTTTCTGCAGTGCAGTGTATGCAGGTCATGCTCATGTGGGAGGTGTGAGCTGTGCAGTGTAGTGTGTGTGCACAGTGCAAACTCGTGGGAGGTGTGAGCTCTGCAGTGCAGTTTGTGTGTGCAGTGCAGTGCAGTATGTGTGTATGTGCAGTGCAGTGTGTGTGCGCAGTGCATGGTCATGTGGGAGGTGTGAGCCGTGCAGCGCAGTGTGTGTATGCAGTGCAGTGTGTGTGTGTATGGAGTGCACACTCACTGTGGGAGGTGTGAGCTCTGCAGTGTAGTGTGTGTATGCAGTGCAGTGCAGTGTGTGTATGCAGTGCAGTGCAGTGTGTGTGCGCAGTGCATGCTCATGTGGGAGGTGTGAGCCGTGCAGCGCAGTGTGTGTATGCAGTGTAGTGTATGTATGCAGTGCAGTGCAATGTGTGTGTATGCAGTGCAGTGCAGTATGTGTGCGTGTGCAGTGCAGTGTGTGTGTGTGCAGTGCAGTGCAGTGTGTGTGCGCAGTGCATGCTCATGTGGGAGGTGTGAGCTGTGCAGCGCAGTGTGTGTATGCAGTGTAGTGTGTGTGTGTGTGCAGTGCACGCTCACTGTGGGAGGTGTGAGCCGTGCAGCGCAGTGTGTGTATGCAGTGTAGTGTGTGTGTGTGTGTGTGTGTGCAGTACACACTCACTGTGGGAGGTGTGAGCTGTGCAGCGCAGTGTGTGTATGCAGTGTAGTGTGTGTGTGTGTGTGTGCAGTGCACACTCACTGTGGGAGGTGTGAGCCATGCAGCTCAGTACATGTAAGGCGCACAGATGCAGACACTGACCAGAGGCAAGGCACGCACCATGCAGCTGCATGCCCCCGGCACAGGGGCACAGCACAGAGTCCAGGTATGGCCGGGAGCAGGATGCAGGCGTGGGCACCGCAGTGATCCCTGCTTGGATCCAAACGGGCTCCAACTGCTCCATGCTCCTCCCAGCCTTGGGAACCTCTTTCCCCGGGCATCGCGGGCAGCAGCCAGCCTGGCACGGGGCCGGGTGGGAGCATCTCCCCCTGCCGCGCCTGCTCCCGCTCCCGAAGCTCTCCGACAGGAGAAGAGGGAACAGAAAAGCACGTTTTCACATTTAGCTCCCTTTGTACTCAGCTAATTAGCGCCTGAGTCTGGTGATGTCATTAAAGCTGCACTAAGTCTTTATTGGGGTAATTTAATTTTCCCTTTCATATCAGGATGATTTCCTTTGTCGGGGTAGGTGCTGGGGAGGGGGAAGGGCCCGTGCAGACAATTGCTATTGTCAGGATAAATAATTCCCTGTTGGATTGACAAGGGGGGAGGTGGGCCGGGGGGCTGGGAGCTGTCACTCACCCGGGTGGCAGCCGGAGCTGCGTGCCTTGGGGTGCCTCTCCCCAAGCTGGGTGGGCTCCTCAGACAGCAAAGCACCTGCTTTGGTCCCTTTCCAACACAGAAACCACGTTCAGGAGGTGGGAGGGTAAAGATGGGGATGTCCCATATAGCTTCCCCCCTTTCCCACCCCATCAGCATCTCCGGTACCGGAGGGAAGCAGATTGCACTGGGCTAGAAGGAGCATTCGTGAACGTTGAGACTCCATGCGTAGTAACCCACTGGAGAACCATTGGGTTCTGTATGCAGCTGGGACATGGAGGGGAGCAGGGAGCTGCTGGGGGTGGTGTGGACCAGGAGAACCTTTTGCAGGGGTCTCCCACCTTAAGGGGGTCCCAAGTGGCATCCCTGCATTAGGAATGGTTGGAACTGACCTCAGCAGACATCGCCCCCTCCAGCCCCTCGCCGGGCACTGCATGCAATGAGGTGATGCTGGAGCGCTCACGGCCGTGGTAGGAGAGGGGGTGGCGGGCATGGGGCAGACCCAGTGCTTGGGTAACAGTGGGGTGAAGGTTGTTGGGGTGAAGCCCCTTCCCCAATCCTGGCTTCCAGCCCCAATGGCTCATGCTGCCCCAGGAGGGATCCCAAACACAGGGTGAGGGGTGAAGGTGTCCGATGGGATGAGAGCCCCTGAGGACTGGCACTCTCAGTCCCTGCAGAGCATCACTGACAGCAGATCCCCATCACATCCCATCCCTGGCCATTCCCCAGCCTTTCCAAGCACGGGAGAAAATGATGGCACGTCCCCAGGAAGCAGCTGGGAGACAAAAGCTGTTGACATTGCCACCACCTAAGTCTTGGTGTCCCAGGGAGCTTGGGCATGACCCATGGCAAGGGTCTAAAGGGGCAATGCATGGGGCAGACTGACTTGGCACAGGGGTGCACATCTTGCCCAGGCAGAGCTGCTGGCACTGGTGTCCTGGTCCAGCAGAGCATCACCAGGCTGGGAGGGGATGGCTTGTGTGGTCCCAAAGCCCTGACTCCTCAGGTTTAACACTTCCAGAGGATCCGTCCCTCCCTGAAAATGGGAAGGGAGGAGAAAGCAGAAGACAGCCATTTTCCACCCGCACTTGGGTCCATCTCCAGAAGGAACCAGGTCCTTACAACCCTTCTGGAGCAAGTCCCACATTCCCCAAAGCCCCCCGTGTTGCTGGCAACAGCTTGGGTGCAGAGCAGGAGGAGGGGGGCCGAGGGGAATGTCACACCCGGAGCGCAAACACCAGCTTGTTGGTAATTAGCAACCATTTCAAGAGGAATGATGAGGAGCCAGTGACAGGCGGGCGGGTTGCTATTAAAAGCTGCCACGTGTGATCCCTCTCCAAGCCTGCTGGCCCCTCCTTACCTGGCGCAGGGGAAATCAAATGTAAACCTGACATACATGCAACGCTCAGGGGGAGCTTTAATAGCGGGGCCCAGGTGCCAGGGTGATGGACGCCCTCACATCCAGCAGTGAAGCGGCCTTTGGGTACTCTCCTCCCCATCATCCTCCTCCTGACCTGAGTCACGAGGTGCTCTGAAGTGAGCACTCGGCCCCCCGCGTGCCTCCACAAGCACAGGCACTTGCTTAAATGTTAAGGGCTTGTTTGCCTCCAGCGGAAGGGAAGCGGGAGCTGAGCCTCCAGCTTGGCAATTGTTCTTCTGTGCCTTCCGGAGCCAAGGGGCCAGGGAAGTGCTCATCCACACAGGGGAGCATCCTCAAGTTGTTCCTCCATGTGCTCAGCCCCCCACAATGCTTCTTTTCAGCCTCACTTGGCTTAAAGACTTCCCAGAGCTCTACAGAAGGAGCATGGCAGGCATCATAGAAGGTGCATATGCATGGCCAGGACAGCATTCACACCCCTCCTTGGTGGGGGGATTGGACTAGGTGATCTCCAGGGGTCTCTTCTAACCCTAATTCTGTGATTCTGATGCACAATGGTGGGGTGGGTCCTTGTCTCAGACCTGCAAACCAAGCTCACAAGGAACCAGGGCACATGGTGCTGGAGCTCAGCCCAGCAGCAGCCAGGTAGAGACGCAGTGGCCTTGGGCGGGTGAGGTAGAGATTGCCACTGCGCAGGGGCTGAGGGTGGATGTGCTCAGCAATGCATCTTGCGAGTGACGGGAGCGGGAGGATAACCTAGTTCTGGCTTCCTGAGATTGGCTGCCCCAATCCCCACGCCGTGAGATGAAAGTCAGTAATTACTGTCTGACTTGGCAGAATGGAGAAGAAGATCAGCCAGAGGGGCATGGTCAGGACCACTGCTCTGTGGGCTGCCAGCATCGCTTGCCCCTGCTCAAGGTGTGAGCAGCACTGCCCATGTTCCCTGCCATCATCTCGAGGTAAGAGCTGCCCTTGCTTCATGACTTCCATCACACCTCGCTCCCAACCATTTTGCTGTCCATCAGGTCTACCCAACTAGGGACCAGCCTGAGGTAACCCCAAGAGCAGGAGCAGGGATGAGCAGTGTATCCATCTGCCCCTCAGCAGGGTCCTCTTGCAAGTGGTTTGCTAAGCAGCTGCAAGGTTTTGCTTTGAATGAGGGCTGGTTATAGTGAGTGGGGTTTAGCTTGGTCTGCTGCTGCCCTGGGCTTGCTGAAGGAGGTGGGTGTCTCTCAGCTGTGCGTAAGAGCTGGAAGTGACATGGGTTCCTCCCTAGACAATACTTGGAGAGTGTCCCCTTGTCCCAGTGTCCTCCATGGGTGGTGACAGCCTCTTTCCTTGCATCCAGCTCCTGCCTGTGAGACAGCTCTTTGGATGCCCTGGCACCCTCCATCTACCGCTGCTCACCAGCTGCCACATTCCCTTCACCACCGCCCTGAGATTCAGGAGCTCATTTGTTCCATTGGCTGCTCCATGGGGAGGGGGTCCTGTGCTGCAGGCTTGGCCAGGCTGTCTTGTCGTCCCTTTGGGGTGATCCCTGGTGCCCATCCCCACTGCTGCTGCTGCCCATCCAGTCTGCTGTGCATGCTTGGCATCACCGCGTGTCTGTGCTCTACACATGTGCCTGGTTAGGGTGATTTGTGTCTTCCAAACACTCCAGTCATTGTTTTAGGGCTCTTCTTTGGTTGACAATAGTACGGGCAGCTGCCACATTTCTCTTCTCCTTAACATATTGTCTGGCTTGTCTGGCTTTCCTCAAGGCCGAGCCCCCTGCCCCAGCACCATTTCTGAGCTCTCCTCCCACCAGGGTCCCTGCTCCCATCAGACACGTTTGTGAGCTGTGCTGCTGTTCTGGGGTTTAGTTCTGCAGGAAAAAAAGCCTCACACTTCTTTTCCCATCTATATCCCAGCGCTCAGCCCTGTTGTGTCACCAGCTTTTAGTTCTGGGCACATGCAGGGGTCCCTCTGCTCCTGGGCCAAAACCACCCCATCCCTGTGAATCCATTGAGCGCTGTTGCTGCTGCAGCATGGGACCAGCCCACGCGAGCAACCCCAGAGCATCCATGAGGGTTGCCCCAGCACCAGGAGATGTGACACCAGCAGCATGGAGGTGACCGGGGAGAGGCTGAGCTGGCGGTGATGCTGATGCAAGAGGTTGAAGAAACCGAGGGGGGATATAAAGGGGGTTGTTCCATGGCTAAAAGGATGAGGAAGATGGGGAAGGGTCCCCAGCCTGGTGCTGTGTGGGAGTGATGGAGCATGTCGTGACTCCTGTCCCACTGGGGGCTCCCCCACACTCTATCTTGCTGCAGAGAGGCCCTGAGCGCGCACAAGCGAGGAAAGGGGGGGGGGGGGAAGAAGGGGGAGAGAGATCTTTTCATCTAAAAGGTTACATTTGTCCTACTTCCTCCCATCTCCAGCAATTAACTTGAAGGGAGACATCACTGCTAATTGAGCAGTGAAGATCAGGAGCAACAATTACGCCTTTTGACAAGAGACAGCACAAGAGGGACTGCTCCGAGGCTGAGAATGGTAGGGAACGGTTTCTATGGCAATATAACTTTCCTCTCTTCCTCTCCAGCCATAGAAATGATAAAAATGTAGATTTCTCCCTGATTAATGATTTAATGAAAATAAAGAATATTCTTTTTTTTTTTTTTTTTCTTTAAAAGAGAAAGAAGGGAAAAGGGAAAAAAAGCAAAAGCAAAGGAAAATCGATGGGACGCAATGTTTAGCACGAGGCTGCGGGTGCGGCAGGATCGATGTCCTTCTCCAGGCTGGACGTGGTGAAATCTATTACAGCAACATGCCGAG